ATGTCTGCAAGAGAAAGGCGTGCTCATGTTGCAGGCAACATTTTGAACAGGAGGAGAGATTTCAGATTCAAGTGCATCACTAAAAGACGGTCAAATTGAAGCAATGCCAATTTAAATGGAGTGAGGAACATACAGCATATTGTTAAAGCAACAGTCGTGCTCATTTGGTTCCACTCCATTTATGGATTTTTGCGCCTCTTGTTTCGTTTTGCATTTCAGTCAACGTACAGAAGGATTTAGGAGCCTCCAACTAAATGCAGCACAGACTCACAGTGCCCTCGTTGACCTGATGGAACGTCACTTCTTAGTGCCATCTAGCGGACATTTAACGACACAGAAAACGCAGAGTTGATTTCCTTCAGTGACCCATACTCGGTGTTCATTACAAAATGTTTGTCTTTTTTTTTAAATAGGCCAACAGCACAATCGCTTTTCTTTCCACCAACCATACCTACCAATTTTTTTACTTAATTTAAAATAAAGTGACATCACAAATACCAAAATCCCACTCATGCATTTACTTTTGAACAATGGTGGGCTGTGCATTTGTCACCTGCAATTTACCCAACTTAATTCACCTCTTAATACCAAAACTATCACGTCACACTTAGAAAAACCGGATAAACATCAGACTTACTACAGTCGATCAAATGCAAAATAACAACCCACAAATGTGCAACGTACATCAACTGAAGCAGTTTGCAATCTGTATTTCGGTGGGGTGTTTTTTTTTTTTGGGGGGGGCAAAAAGAAACGTGAATTCAATACATTATACTCACAAGAGATGCTGCTTATGAAAGTATTTATGTGTGCAGCTGTGTTTTGCTGTTCGCAATTGTCTTGCTCTGAACAACCAATCCAAAGACAGAAAAATTGTGATGTTGTGGGATTGAAAATGTGGGTTTTTGAGGCAAATTTGATTTTGATTGGATTAAGAAACAGTCAGTGGTTTCCAATTTCAATTCAAAGAGAAAAAAAATACCCCTTGAATCTAGTTCCAATTTTTTGTTGTCATTGGTGGGAGTGCTGTACTTCCTTGTCTTCAATAAGATGGTCCCATCTTGGGATCGTCTTTGTTTTTGTTCAAAAACTTTGAAAGCCTTGTCTTTTAATGCCGTGTGCCAAAGGATTGTTGGTGCATTTGTGAGCCTTCAAGTAAGTACAAAGAAGCCCTCCCAACACGTTTGCTTTTTTTTTTCTTTTTGCTTTGCTTGCTTGTGGGCTTATTTTTTCCCATATCACGAGTCTGAGATGAGAGTTTTGACAGAGCTACAGGCAGATGCAGACTGCTTTAAAACCCACTGTGCAATAATACGCACATATCGAACAAATTGTATCATGTATTTTCTTTGACAGGCATTCCAATATCTGTTTTGCCAGCAAGGGCTGCATCTTGTTGAAAAGGATTAGTATGTGTTAAAATGTTTTCCCTCTAGTGTGCAACATAAATCACTGGCCTTTGTTTTTCTCCCGTGCTCGCCGTCACTGTGGTTTCACTGTTGCATGTCAACAGATTGCTCCTCGTCCATCTGCTCCCTCTGACCAAGATCTACCATCTGTTAATGGCAAAGGTGGACGATTGCTTTCAATGTCTCCCGAAACCTCAGTCTTATTTAGCCTTTGTACTTGGTGAACGGCTCGTCATATTAGTCGCCCCATACAGTCGATGCTCATCATCAAAGGGGAACTCGGGGCAAAAATGTTCAATGTGCCCCCACTTGTCTAAACATGGTCTTCTGATCAATATTGCGTTCGTGGCCGAAGAACCAGATGAATCCATAACTTTTCATCATTCTCACAGTGCTGCCATTTTCTCATATCAACTGAAACTGTCGTCAAAGTGCCCTCGGGCTCGCATTATGAACACCCATTTCTGGGTTTAGTCACGTGAAGTGGCTTTAGCACAATCGTGCTTCTTTGTACCATGGTTGTCATTTGAAGATGGCTGATCTTCACCCAGTCTTTCTGCCAAGTCATGCAATCTGTGTGGGGACGGTTCATATGTAAATGAACCACAATGATCCGCAGAGGTGGACATTCCGTCAGTACCGATTGAAGTTTTCGCAGTCCATCGCTGACGGACTCCCGTTTTGCTGGTGAATGACAAACGACGGAAACTTTGAAACACTTTGAAACTAATCATTACTAACCCCAGTGGTGGGCATTCAGTGCCAATGCAACGTCTGTCAGGGACGGACTTCCATTTCGATGATAACTGATGGAAACACGCGCCGCGTATCTTGGGTGTGTTTGTTCGCGGGGTGACTACTCTTTGGTTGCTTCAAGCAGAGGAGAGGCTCCCCATCCTGCAACATTAAAAGAAAAATTCAAACCCACTAGTCAATGTGGTGACCTGTAGTTTTGTTGTTTGCTAAATTTTGGGTACCGTTCTCCAAGGTTGCTCCTTTTTTAGGTTGTCCCGGTTAGTTATGGAAGTTGGCTATACAGTATTGTCTACCTTTTGGTCCCACAGGCCACAACGACATTGTGCCACATTGTTTTTATTTTACTAATTACCACACTTTGTGTGTGTGTGTGTGTGTGTGTGTGTGTGTGTGTGTGTGTGTGTGTGTGTGTGTGTGTGTGTGTGTGTGTGTGTGTGTGTGTTTTATTTTATTACAACTTTATTGGGATGTTTGCTTGTGCAGCGTCTGGGTGTGACCGGGTCCGTGCATTCTTGACGCCAATTGGCTGTGACTGCCACAGCGTCACCAAAAGTTCACTTCACGGACTGATGAATTGTTAACTGATGGACTGGGCCGCCCTGAAATTAATGACAGACTATTGATGACAGACTGGACCCTGGCAGAGGACAAATGATGGACCGGTGACATTTATTGACACGTCCATTACTGCTGTTACCTTTGTTAAAATAAATAAATAAATAAATAAAAATTCTCATGGTCCTAAAATAACAGTTAAGAACTGTAAATTAGCAATGACAGAAGGCTGGTTAAAATGACAATGATGGAGTGATGGCTAACGGACTTGGTGGGCTTGAAATAATGACAGATTGACAATGAGTTACGGGTGGGCTGGCCGCTGGCGAATGACGAATGACGGACTTTATTCTCAAAATTCCTGGAAAAATACAACTATTGTTTTATAAAATGGCTCAAGTAAACTTTGACATTTTGGAAGTGATAGATGTTTTTTCAGTGGCTTCAAGTTCTAAACAATTCTGTTCCTTCCATTCTCCGTGGGGAAACTGTCTTGAACATTTTCCTGACAGCACAGAGCAGGAGCCTTTCAGGGAGTCTGGCAGCATTAAAGTTACATTGGTGCTTTTAGCTAGCGGCCTTGAGAGAGCATTCAGCCTTGCTTGATGTGCAAATAGACAACAACATGCATGTGAAGCTCATGTGTCTCTCTGAAGCTGTGGTGTCATAACAGTGGGAGTTGCACACTCATCGTTTAATCGGACCAAGCTCCCCAGATGACATAAATGACACTATCAAGGTGATGAAATCGGAACTGCACCAATGTTAATCTTTAGTAACCATTTACACGGCCCTTTTATATGTGCAATAGATATTAAAGTTCAAGTAAATCTACTTAAACTCCTGTCCAACTAGCCCAAATGATGATTTCTGGCAAATGTATTATGTGCGGGCGCACAAGGTGCCACAAAATGCATTCAGGGGTTGCACAGGATTCTTGCTAATAATTTGTTTTGCCAGCACACAGGCGAATGACCGGTCAATCACAAGCCACCCCAGACAGTAACAACAAAATCTTATTGTGACCACCCTCAGGGGTAGATGTGGACGGTAACTCGGGCTGCACAATTAAGTGAATATTTATCATGATCACTATTTTTGCCACCACCAATAAATCAACCGGATAGATGGCAAAAGTCCCATTTAACATTCAGGCTCTTCTGCATATCGAATCAAGCACTTTTTCAACCAGGAGTCAGCCAACCACCAGGGGGCAAAGACATGGTTGTGGCCTCATTAAGATGCCTAAACAACAAGTGAGAGCACCCTGAAGAGAGAGCCTAAAGTCATTTGGTAGACTGATAAGAACAGGCATGTCAAAAGAGGAGAGCACAGCAAAAAATGGAGATGGGGAGCATCACGGTGAGGAGCGAACTGCTTCAAAAAGAATCAACATCTGTTGTCTGGACACTGTTTCAGATTAAAGTGACGTGAAACAAATTAATAGCATATTTATTTAGTTATCCCAAGGTACATTTTAAATTCTTGGGTGTATGTCATTTTTTTCATCATTTAGCATCCATTCTTATTTCAAGTTGGACTATATATTGAAAAATTGTATACTGTAAGGTAGTGCAATAAAAATACAGATTTTAAATCACGAACATGATGAATAATTGCGATTAATAATCAATTACATTATTGATCAAAATAATCATGAATACAATGTACTCCAAAATCGTCCACTAAAATTGAGATCAACGTGAGCTTGTATTGTGAACATCACGGCTCACCTGTTTTGTTGGTTTGGTCACGTGACGTTCACAATGCAAACCCTAGGGCACTTTGTCACACTTCACCAGGCCAACTTTACGTAATACGCAAGTGGAAATCGTCTTGCAGTTCCTTATAAACATACTTTGTGTGTGTCAGTGTCCACTGGCAAATCAACTGTGTTCATTCCCACAACGGCGCAAATGCCCATCTCTAACTGCGCTCATCTACAAAAATACCAAATGAACAAAAATCCACCAAATTGCACAGTTATTCCGGGCTACACTTGCGCTATGAACGAAAATAGGGCTCTATCTCTCAACATTTCCGCACTAAATCGTTCTCCGTGTTTGTACACGGTTTCAGCACTTATTTTCAATAATGTTTAATATATTTATATTACAATGTAGTCTGTTTTTCAGACAGTTCATATACGTTGTCCCAAAAATCCGCGAATATGCCACTCGTGAATAGGCAGGTATCGTGTGGTGCCACAGCAACCAGCTCATCCGTTCGCTTCCCCTCCCCCTCCTCTCCTGGTCCCTCCGATCTCCGAATAGAACCGAGTGATTCCGCAAATGTCCGAGCCGCGTCTGAGCGAGCAGCCATAATTGGGATTATTCGGGAATAATTCGGCCAATCTAGCTCCTTCTTCCTCTTCCTCTTCTTCTTCTCCTGGCCTGCCCCCCCCCCCCCAATGTTTTTTATTTGTTTGTTTTTTTGCCCCCACCGGCAAGCTTCGTCATTTCGACATCGCCGGCGCTGTGAATCTGGTTGCTTTTGACAGTGTCATGGAGGATTTTCTTTTTTATTCCAATCGGACTCTTCCCTCGCAGTCGTCCACCTTCGCTGGACAGCAAGACAAAGGCTGCATTTGAACTGTTGCGAGGAAACCCATCGTTCTTTTTTTCCCCTTCGTCCCCCCACTGAAAGATGGAGAAAGAGATTTATGGAGGCGCTCGTATGTGTGGACTGATTGTTAAGGTGCCAGTCGCCGAAATCCACGTCAAGACCATTCCGAGGGGCCCCGCGGCCGTTTTCCGCCTTCTGTGGGTGGCTTTTTTATCCTAAGCATTGAAAATCTGACATCATTTGGATAAATGAACGCAACAAGATCTTTTTTTCCTCCTCCCCGTTCGTCCTCTGGAGAGCCACCTTCGACGTGATGCAGCACGGACTCTGTTTACACGACTGATGCTCAAAACCAAACGCGTGGATATATGTCTGGTTTTTATTTTTGGTTTGTTTTTGTTCTTTGCCATCGCGTTAAATGAGGGCTCATCATCTTCATCATTTTCGGCTTGTCTGATCAGATGCTGAGTCTTCCGTTGGGTGGAGTGGGGTGTCTCGTGTTGATCATATGTTCCCCGATTGTCCCTTTGGATGGATTTATGCATAACAGGTGTTGTGCACAACACGAGCATGAGGCTTCATTGTGTGCTCTTCTTTTGCTCTCCGTACAAGCGACGGTGAGACAAAGCGACGGCTTGTTTTTTTTTCTCCAGTTTTTGTTTTTCAAAAGGAAGTAATGAAAGGTAGGTTGGAATTGATTGATTCCGAGCGCGCACAGACACACACACACACACACACACACACACACACACACACACACACACACACACACACACACACACACACACAGAGGGGACTGTGACACCTGTTTGTCTGTTTTCGAGCCCATCCACAGGGCCTGGGCAGGCCTCCCGCTCCTGTAATATATTAGTCAAGGTGGCAAAGGGCTGTTTGTGTGATCAACATGAGCTTACTGCTTGTGTGTGTGGCCTACATTGACAAGGAAGGCCCACCATGGCTCTCAGCACATTTGATGAAAATGTCTCCCCGCTGTGATGATTCCACTCAATGTGCACATTTACGTGTGGTGCAGGAAGGGGTGCGGTGGTGGTGGGGGATGTCCTCCACTGACACACAAAGCATACAGTTTGGTTTGTTGGACATGCCCAGTCTCTTCTAGACCACCCCCCACCCCCATCACACGCACACACACACACCCGTGCATTCACTCAAACACCCACACTTGCACAAAGTGTGCGAGCTGTTGTATCTTAGCAACGGGATAGGTAATTACTGAGAGAGCCGAGGAGCTGGCATGCTGTCGAGCCGCTGATCTGATCCCAGCCTTAAGAGGAACGGGGAAGATTTCCATGGCGGTCCGTCTCTTGCCGAGGGAGGAGGAAAGGGGGTGGGGGGGAGCGCACGCAGCCCTTCATGAAAATGTGCATCTGTGTGTTCACAGGTGGCGATCTTGTGGACAAACGAGGCGGGATGACGTGTAGAAAAGGCCGCTCCTTGTAAAGCAAACGACGGCTGTAAGAGGATCAGTGGAGCTTATAGGCAGGCAGGCAGGAAGGCACGCCCGTGCGCAGGCAGGAGGCCGACAGAATGGCCAACCAGAGCTTCGCCATGGACGGGCCCGGCAGCTTGCTGGCCGGGCTGGCCTCGCAAAGTGGCCCAGCCCGAGGAGGAAGCAGCAGCGCAGGCGGCGGCGGCGGCGGTGGCGCCGGAGGAGCACTCTCGGCCGCAGACGTGTCGGCGTATTTCAAGCTGGTCTTCTTGGGCTTGATCATCTGCATCAGTCTGGCGGGCAACCTCTTGGTCTCTCTGCTGGTCCTCCGAGACCGGACGCTTCACAAGGCGCCGTATTTCTTCTTGCTAGATCTGTGCCTGGCCGACGCAGTGCGCTCGGCCGCCTGCTTCCCCTTCGTGCTGGTGTCGGTGCACAACAGCTCGGCGTGGACTTACAGCGCCTTGAGCTGCAAAGTGGTGGCGTTCATGGCCGTGCTCTTTTGTTTCCACGCTGCCTTCATGCTCTTCTGTGTGGCTGTCACCCGCTACCTTGCCATCGCCCACCATAGGTTCTACGCCAAGCGCATGACGATCTGGACCTGCGCCGCCATCATTTGCATGGTGTGGACCTTGGCGGTGGCCATGGCCTTCCCGCCCGTCTTCGACGTGGGCACCTACAAGTTCATCCGGGACGAGGATCAATGCATTTTTGAACACCGCTACCTGAAGACCAACGACACCCTGGGCTTCATGCTCATGCTGGCCGTGGTGGTCTTGGCCACGCACGGCTTCTACGCCAAATTGCTGCTGTTCGAGTACAGGCACCGCAAGATGAAGCCGGTCCAGCTGGTGCCGGCCATCAGCCAGAACTGGACCTTCCACGGTCCCGGCGCCACCGGTCAAGCGGCTGCGAACTGGATCGCGGGGTTCGGCCGGGGCCCCATGCCGCCCACTCTGCTGGGTATCAGGCAAAATCTCCACAATCAACACCGGCGGCTGCTGGGGATGGACGAGGTGAGGTCTGAGAGGAGGCTCGGTCGCATGTTCTACACCATCACCTTGCTCTTCCTGGTGCTTTGGGCTCCCTACATCGTCGCGTGCTTCTGGAGGGTGTTCGTCAAGTCGTGCAGCATCCCTCACAAGTACCTCTCCATCACCGTGTGGATGAGCTTCGCCCAGGCCGGAGTCAACCCCATCTTCTGTCTGCTGCTCAACGAAGATCTGAGAAAAGTGCTGCGAGCCCATCTGCCCACCTACTGGAGGACTAAACAACACCTGCCCCAGGATGAGGCCTACTGCATCATGTGAGGGGGGGTTGAGAGGAACCTTCGCCTGGAGAGCCAACCAGCGCAGGCACAGTGCCATTTCAAAAAAGAATGTCGGTATTTGTGCCAGAGGTTTTTGGATGGGGCGCAAGAAACCAGCTCACCCACACTTGAATGGTTTGTATTCCTCGTGATGGATTAATAGGTAAACTCGGCCCGGAAAAGTGAGACGGGTGCCATTTTTTAATATCATGTTGCCTTATATCAGAGCGACACACATCAGCGTCTGTGCCACTCGAGGCACAAAACAGCATTAGAATGACACGATAAAATGTTATGATAGGAAAGTTACAGACTTGAAAGGCATCAGAAAGAAGTGGACGAGTTTGAAGGATGGAACGACCACCCGGGACTCCGTTTCGTGCTCATTGAAGGAGACTATTTGATATTGAAGAGACCCTTTTCTTAGCGGTGAACAACCCGAACATGCTTGAGTTATTTGGACTTCATTTAGGGTGCGTTACATTTCTTTATATCATATGGGAGGGGGAGGGGGGGATGCCTGTTTTTCTTTATTTGTAAACAAGACATGTTAAGCAGATGAGCCTATTTTGAAATATGACTTGATTTCATATTGTATAGACTGCACAGGAATGTTAATTCCTGCTTGTGTGTTTTTTATATTGCATTCGTGCGTAGGTGTGTGAGGGTCAGCCTGCTCTGTTGCTATGTTGGTACTCTCCCTGTGTCATACTTAGGCCCGGTACACACATAAAGATTTGTTTTTTTAATATTGAGAGATTGTTTGTGACAGAAACATAGCAACAACCAGGAAACACAAGACACCCAATGGAAATGCACACATGAAGGGGGGGGGGGATGATGGTGGTCTTGGGACTATTTTTCATGGAAAAAAAACCCATCATGAACTAAGAAAAAAAGAAAAGACTGTGGAAATCAGTTGTCGTGGCAAGAAACACAAATAAGACAAGTTGTTCTTTTACTTACCCAGACTTCCTTGTTACTTAAGCTAGGCCGCTTCTCGATTGGCTACATTTCATTTCACGTCACAATTCAGAAATGAAGATGTTCGGTGGTATATCTTGAACATGTTTATTCATAATTCATGGTTTGGACACATACGCTCTTAACTTCTGAGATGACAGGATCATTTCAAAAGATCATCTTATTAGACAGCCTGGCGTTTGTCGGCCTTGATCGAGAAAACAGCCCGATTGTCTTTATGTGTGTACCGCGCACTTAACACCGACAAGACCAACGTGATCATTCAAAGTCACACAGTCAGAAAATGGGAGAGGGCTAAACGTTTTTTTCAAAAAAAGTCCACAGGAACCCTCATAGAGTGACTCGTACATGACCACAAGCCATCAAATGAAAACGTGTCTTCAAAATGTATTCCAAAATCATAAACGGCATTTGATGTTTCACATTAAAAGGGAACTAAACTCAAATAATTTTAAAGCAAGAAAGAATAGCATGTGCCAGCGCGAGTCAAAACACCATTCGACTAATCTGATTAATATTGCGTTCGTACAAAATCATACAATTGAACCGGAGCAATAATAAACAGATGGGTGGGGCCATGTCGAACAAAATCATGATCAGCTGTGACAATGGAGGGCTGATCGAGGGATCCCCACTAACGCCGCGAACGCGCTCAACTCAACTATGTCACTGACAGTGATGAAAATCACTTGAGAACCAACGTCTGACAAGTGCTGTAAAACTCCGCCTCTTCCCTTATAGGGCGTGTCCCTCACAATTGAGAATCTGGATTTTTATTGATTTGACAGTCGCGAGTGAAAGCAGTCGGGATAGATACGTTTCAGCAAGGCTGTTTTGTTCAAAATACATTGTTGGAATGCTTTGCTTGGAAGTGGGACTAATGTCCGCATTCGAGCTCAGGGTGAACATTATTTTTCAATGATTCAACTGCGAGCGGCGGGCTGGCGCGTGTAAGAGCGGGTTTTGGACATGCGAGAATTTCGCCCGACGATATATAGATTGTCGTTGCCGAACATTTACCAAGTCTGTTTTCTTTGTAAAAAGGCTGCGTAATTAGCCAGAACTTGCTAAAAAACATGTCACATCCACACAAATTCACACTCATGCGACAATGAATACAACTTAAAAAAAAAAAAAGGCGCGGCCCCCCATAAGTGAGTAGATGCGATGTTTTAAACTTAGTAGATTTAAGTGAACAGCATCTGATGAACAAGATGTGCACATTTAAAAAAAAAAAAACTGATATCTTGGGTTTAGTTCCCCTCTAACGTACAATAACATTTCCAAATATCGGCGAATCATCAAAAGAGAGGAACCAGACCACTTGAAACAGTTAATGCTGATGTACATTGTATTCCAAAATATGCAAATATTTGCAGATCTGTTATAATGGAGAATGTTTTTTTTCCTCAAGTAACGCTACGCTCGGAATGCCGAAGCGCAGCGCAAGTCAAAGCGGGAAATTTGAATACTGAATGTTACTGGGCCCGCTCATGTTTCCCTCCCATTTGAGTGTCTGGATCAAAGTCGTCGAGCTGGAAATCCCGCTCCATCAGGTCAAGTCGTTGTATCTCCAAATGGAGAAAATGCCTGACGTGCGGCGCATTAGTCATACAGCACATACATGTGTGCAGTAGATCTTGAATGTGGCCACTTGCACTGAGTTAGCATGTATTCCACGGCATTTCAGATCCAAGACAAGTGTGTGTGCGTGTGTGTGTGTGTATGTGTGTGGAGTGAACTTGTACAGATGTTGATATGGAAAGTCCAATTGAAAAGTAAACTGAGGTCTGTGATTTTTACATCTGGCATTGCTTTGCGAGATGATCTTGTGTAAAACTGTACAGTTGAGCTGAGGTGGCGCTTTTGCCCACTGGTCAATAAAGACTCTACTTTTGATGCATTCCCACTTTTTTCGTCGCCTGGGAGGTCAGACAGCCGTGCCGTGCCGTTGCAGGGGCATACTTTGCGGGAAATACGGCAAATAAGGCAACAAATATGACATCTGTATTTGTTGCGCAATGGGGCATCGGGGACACACTGAAACCCGATCCCACGTGGGAGTATTTGAGATACGAGCTGTCATTCGGACAATTTTCTGCTAAGACTTCAGCGAGTACGGACTTGAGACACGTGCGCTCTATGGTGGCAGTGAACTCAACTCAATACACTTTACAAAAAGCAGCAGTTTGGCACATAGAGGATCATTCATCAAAAGTTGATGAGGCCACTCTTGTAAAAGACAATTTTAATCTCAATAAGTTTTCTTCCTGGCTCAATCACAGTTAAAAAAAATCTCCAAACTATATTAGATTGCATTATGTTATTACTCTGTGCTTTTACAAAGAACAACATTAGAGTGCTACTTTCCTTATGAAAAACATTTTTTTAGGAGGAAGCTGGAATGAAAGAATGACATTCATTTCAGCTGAAATGAATGCCGAGATGTTTTGGGTTTACGAGCATGGTCTCACAAGGAATTCAACTTGTATCTTAAGACACCACTGTAATAATTTCTTTTGTTTAGTTTTCAGTGTTGTAGATACTCCTTTTTATGCTAGTGCGTGTGGTGAAGGTGTATTGTCACAAATCTGGTAAATACAACGGTGCTTTGACTTACGAGTTGAACTCGCTCTGTGGCCATGATCGTAACTCAAAACAAGTGTTTATCAAAGCATCTTTTCCCATTGAAATGAATGGAAATGTCTGATTTCAAGTTTGTTATGACTTTGCAACCTTGCATGGTTCTGGTCTATTTTTCTCGATTTGATCTGAAACGGGGGGGGCGGGGGGTGTTAAAGTTATTTTTTTGTCGTGGACCACATTGTAGTTATGGTTTCCTTCGGAGGGCCAATATGATTGCAAACCCAAAAATATAACAGAGACAACAACTTGATGAAGAGCTAAATTAGATCCTTGGGTGAAAAGAAATATGTAGAATATGATAGACTCACTGTGGTGCAGGGTTCAATTCCGGCTCCCATCTTTGCATGTTCTCCCCGAGCCTGCGTGGGTTTTCTCCGGGTACTCTGTCTCCCTCCCACATTCCAAAAACATGCGTGGCAGGTTAATGGAACACTCTAAATCAGGCATGTCAGCTCTGGGCCTGGAGGGCCACTGTCCTGCTTGTTTTCCAGCTCTCCTGACTGCAACACACCTGATTTAGATGATCAACTCATCGGCCAGCTCTGAAGCAGCATTAGAACGATCCTGATTTTTTGAATCAGGTCTGTTGCCCATGGGAGCACTGGAAAAGAAGGCAGGTGCGGCCCTTGAAGACTGAGTTTGGAGACCCTTGCTCTAAATTGTCCCTAGGTGTGAGTGTGAGTGCGAATGGTTGTCTGTCTGGTATCCCCTGCCTACTGCCCGAAGACAGCTGGGATAGGCTCCAGCACCCTCCCAACCCCCACGCCCCCCGAGCCACCTCCCCCAGGACCCTTGTGAGGATCAGTGGATCAGAAAATGGATGGATGGATAGGCTCACTGAAGAGTTGTCTGTTGGTGCAGTAGTGGTACAGTTTGGAAAAGATAAATGGGTTTCACTTGTATTGCGCTTTTCTACAACACTTGGCAAAAATGATGGATTCACTTCTCTTGGAGGGTGTTAATTCAGTTGGATAATTTTATAGTTAAAAAAAAAATCTCAGACAAGACACAAAACTAAAGTCATTTCAAATGGCAACTTAATGGCTTTAAGAAACACTACAATATTTCAAGAAAAATAAATGTGGTCATCAGTGAGAAGAAAAAATGGAATCACTCAATTATGATGAAAAAAATAACATAAGAACACTTCAACACACCACTTGCAGCACTTCTGACTTTCATTACTAGGCTGCAACTTTCTCTGACTGCTTTGACCAGATCAGCTTCCAATATTGTTTGTACTTGGTCCAGGTATTAGACCCAGCTGACCATGGCAAACATCTTTTGTAACCTTGCGTGATAATTTACCTTCTTAGAAGTTGGATAATGCTTTTCCTTTGTTTTGACATCTCTTGTGTTGGAGCCATGACCCATGTCAGTCCACTTGGTGCTACGGCTCTCCAAGGTGTCATCACTCCCTGTTGAACTGCAGACTAATGAACAGATCCAATCTGATGCAAGTGATCATAGAATAGCCATTTACAGGGTGATGCCATCATTTTCCCTTACAATTGAGTGATTCCATAATTTGTTCATGCTGCTTGGTCGAAAAATATAACTTACTGACTTCCTCAATTTGTGTCTTTCGTGTTTCATCAAGAGAGAAAGTTGCCATTTGAAATGACCTTAGCTTTGTTTCATGTCTGTGACCTGTCCCACCCCGCAAAATTAAACAATTGAATGAACATCCTCTGCGACCGGTGATCCCATCATTTTTGCCAGCTGTAGCTTAGGAACTCAAAGCGCTTTAACACAGTCTCCTTATTTTACCTACCGATGACACAATATCAGGAGCAACTGGGGGTTCAGCATCTTGCTCAAGGACACATTGACATGATC